TGCTTCTGCTCCCTCCAGGTTGTATTTGGAACGTCAGAAGAACAACTTCCATCTTCACTCTGTGGCATGTACGGGTACAGAGGTCCATCTGGCCGCCTGTCCGCTGGAATTCAACAAGCCAAACGCCACATCCTCCTGCGCAGGGGGCATGCCGGCTGTCATTAGCTGCATGCCGGGGCCGCTGTTCATGCAAAACAGCGGTTTGAAAAAGAAACTGAAAATTTCGGTAAAGTACTTTTTTGTGAAGTGATCACAGATATGTGCTGGCATAGTTGAATAACGTGAAGTGTCTCTTTGTTGTTTAGACCAATGTGAGGCTGAAGGGAGGTGCCAAGGTAGGCGAGGGTCGAGTCGAGGTGCTGAAAGACAACGTGTGGGGGACTGTGTGCGACGACCGCTGGAATCTGCTGTCGGCCAGCGTTGTCTGCAGGGAGCTCGGCTTTGGCAGCGCCAAGGAGGCTCTCACCGGTGCCCGCATGGGTCAAGGTCAGGAATAATTAAAAAGTTTGTACAATGGTGATCTTTGGCTCCTCCAATCTGCATGTCAGAGTATCCTTGAGTGGGATACTGAGACCCAAGCTGCCCCCTATGCATTCATCAGAGTGTGTGAATGTTAGTTTCAAGTACTTTGGCATAGTAAAAAGTGCCTGTGTGTGTGACTGGGTGAATGAGGCTTGTAGTAAGAAAGTGCTTCAGAGGGCTCAAATTTAATAGAAAAGTACCAGTGCATATCTAAAAGTTACCTGATCTGGTTCCACATATAGATATCTAACTCAACTGAAGAGGTTATTTATAGAGAAATGTTTGTACAGATTCAAAAAAATTATTTTATAAGACTTTGATCATTGAGTGGATTCTGTTTGAGGTTTTTTTGCATTAAATCTCTTTGAAGCCAGGATGTGTTTATAACTGTCTTCAGAGAGGACTTCAGTCGCCAGCTGTCCATCTCTGGCCTTCTAATCTCTCAGGTCATCGCTTCAACCTGCAGAACTGATAATCTGCCTTTAACATTCCTACACGGATTCCTCGTTTGAAGCTTTTTGAAAAAGTAAAGGAATGCTACACTTGTAAAAAGATAAAAATGAAGGAATGGAGGACATGAGAGACAGAGCTGTAAATGTATTGTGCATTTTCTGATGAAGTCATTACAATAATGGGCCTTTCATAGTGTGTTTTATCCATTAATTCTCCGACTGAGTGCCCCATTCATTAAATAGCTTTTTTTTTTATGTGTTTGTGATTCCTAAGTGGTGGTCAGGCACTTTTAGAGCAGAAAAGTATTTTTTTTCCAGCTGGGCCATGGATCATTTCATGTGACGATGAGGCAGTCAGTTTTATAAGGCCAGCATGTGTCTGGGCCACCTGGGCTCCACATGAGCAACAAGAATGACTTTTTCTGCCAAGGTGTAGAAGACATTGCATGAGTCAAAGATGTGTGTACACTGAAGACATATGGAAATGTAATCTATGACAATATATGCATAGATTATGGTGAGTTGTGTTGTTAAATAACAATTGTAATCATTTTTGTAGCTAAACTCCCTGGTCTGCACTTTGTCCATTTCCTTGGCTTGTAGGAAAAATATTAAAGTTGTTGAAATTTGGCTGAAAAGCTGATCTGCTTCCAAAAGCCTAACTGAAGGCTTAGAGCAGGCAGGTTGGGAATCCTGAATGAAGCCGTTTTTTGTGTATGTGTGTGAGGAAATGCATGTCCTTGTGAACAAATTGCGCCTTTGTTAGGTCGTTTAAGGTGCTGAATTTCGAATAATTTTCTAAAACCAATCCACACACACACAACAGCTGCACATAGATAATACAATTAGTTTCTTGCAGCTTCAGAAAGAACACACCCGTCACACCCGCTCTCAGAAATGCTGGGTGGGGATGTCTGCTGTAGTTTGTGTACATTATGATATCTACCACAGAAGAAGTTGGTGAAGGAGGCTCGTCAGATAGTTTTTCTGTACCTGGGCTGTCTTCCAGAAAGCAGGTTTAGTCAAAACCTTGAATTCATTAACCCTGAGATGCGATAAACTCTGGATTTTCCATTCCAGACAGAAAAGCAACACAAACTCTGGGTTCATTTCTGAAATCTTGCTCTTCTCACTGTCACGTGTTCCTTAACATGCCTTGAGTTTAATTTTTCAACTTTTAAGACACAGGGTGTCCTTTACATGATTAATGTTTATTTGTTTATTTATAAGGAACCACATTAGCTTCCACAACAGTGGTTGCTAGTCTTCATGGGGCCCAAACCATCAAATACAATCAAATAAAATATTACACAATAAAGTGGATACCAAATATCCACATAATTTGGCTCTTACATCTACAGTAAGGTTCCCTCTTAGCAAAAAGGCAAAATTGTGATGGGTCAACACACAGGCTGGCCTACTTGGGGTCTATATAGAGGCTTCAAATGGCAAAACTGCTGTGGGATAAGCACCTTCCAAATATATTTTATGCCACTTCTTTCATTAAATTCATTCCGATCAGCTGCTGTGGATCCAGAGCGGGGTTACACTCGGACATTGTCAGTCATGCTTCCTGGAACAGACCTCTGCTGTGTGTTCAGACTCCTGTCCGACCACCACCTGGCTCAGCGAGTCCAAGAAACATTCCTGAACGTCACTGAAGTCGGAAACGAGTGCGACCGAAGGAATTCCTTTCACAGAAATTACGCATCACAATCACCTCATGGTGCCATGACTTGCAGAGACAGACTGAGAGTTTAGAGAGTAAATATGAAGCAGGGTGGTGCTGACCGATGTTAAAAAGTGAGCTCGGTATTCGTTTCAGTACTGCAAACAGTTTGGAAGCCATGCAAAAAGAGACCTTTTAATTCTGCATATTGTAGCATATCAAGTATATTATAATAACCACCATAAAATCCAAAGACTACAATTTCAGTACTGCTAGTTTGGGGTGCTGCTTCATCTTTATTGGCTGAGCTTCTCAAAACCAGATTGAGCCTTTTGAAAGGTCCAAAAAGCAGTCGTGACCTGGATTGTACTAAATCGGATTAAACTCCTAATTAACTGCCTTGGGGCTCAGTGATTGAGCCTCAGTTGAGTGAAACCCTCAGTTTCCCCATAATTAACTACAACATCCATAACTGAAATCTATTACGTCAGAAGCTCTAAATGTGTTGTTTTTCCAAGCTCTTAAATACTGTAGGATGTGTCTCATCATTTTGCCTTGAAAGACTATCAAAAGTAACTTCAAAGTTGTCAGTGCATCTGTCTGTCTGCTTGTCCAGGAATGGGTCCGATCTACATGAATGAGGTGAAGTGCCTCGGGCAGGAGAGGTCCATCTGGGACTGCCCCGTTAAAAACATCACATCAGAGAACTGCCAGCACTCAGAGGACGCTGCTGTTCGCTGCAACGTGCCTTACATGGGCCTCGAGACCTCGGTCAGACCTGAACTTTCTCACTAAAATGTTTCATTTAAAAGTTGTTAATTTGAGAAATTCTTGTTGTTTTATATGGAATTCATAGCAAATAGACTTACTTTTCTAAACAGGCTGAATGATTCGAATGTTTAGATTGTTTCTATCTTCTACAGGGGGGATAGGAAAGAAGTTAAATATTGTCTTATTTCACACTGTTTATTTTAATATCTTTTCTGGCCTTCAGTAGAAGCTGCTTTAGTCGTCTTTGTGCACAAAAATGTGAGATTTAGAGCTAACAGTAAGAACAATCTCACATCTGTTCTCAACCAATAATCCTTCGGTACTGTTGTCACAAAAAAGCTCATTGGCCAAATCCTCAGTTTGAGTTTCACATTTGTCTGCTTTGAATGAGTTTCCTTGTTGAGTTGCTGAAAAAGCAAATCAAAATGTTTTTAAAAAATCGAAAGCTTTTTCTGACAGCAGTGACCTCTTCTGAAACCCGAGAATTTCTGGTTACGCTTCTCCTTGTGTAGATACACACAGACAGCGGGCTAAAACCTCCTGAAATTAGATACTATCATCAAAATAAACCTTCAGAAAATGTAATCTCATTAATTATCATCTGTAGTTAAACATGTATCGATTTTTCATGAAGTAGCCTGTAATATTTCTGACATAATTAGAGGTTGTTCACAAGAGAAAACCCGTCTCTTTGTGCATCTACACTTTGCTTTGTGGTTCCTAACCCCTTGGTCCCGCACAGATCCGAATCACAGGAGGACGAACCCGCTATGAGGGCCGTGTCGAGGTGCTGACCTCGGACCCTAATGGGACACAGAGCTGGGGTCTGATCTGTGGTGAAAACTGGAGCACCAAGGAGGCCATGGTGGCCTGTAGGCAACTGGGCTTGGGCTACGCTAACCAGGGCCTGCAAGTAGGTTATTAACACCACCAAGGACAACATTCTGCAACAGAGTAAACTGTTGTCTTTTTTGGTACATATAAATCATATGGAAATATAATATACTGTCATGTACACCCAATGGCCTTTCATTTTAGTTTGTTTTTAAGGCTTCAGTGTTGTTAAAAGTGAAGAAACTCCTTGTTTAGACGACTGTATCTGCAGTTGACTGTATTCAAGGCAACAGTGTACTCAAATAGACAGAATCTAAGACTGGGGAGTGTTCACGCCATAGATTTTGCCTCACATGAGCCTGGTGCATTTAAAATGTGGTCTGCAATGGTGGATTCTGTGGTAGCAGATTTAGATTTGAAATCATACAATCAGTCTTCTAATGGACTACTGATCTATGGTTGCTGTCATTTAAGTACTAGTCCATTATTTTGTAATTGTATCACCAAAATCATCCTTAACTGCTTGAATCAGTCAGGATGGATACATAGAAAAAATCCTGTTTCTTCTCATGTGGTAGTTTTCCATTGCCTTCTTACGTTCTGATGAAACTCGAAGTTTTAGCTGTGTAGGTCATGTTGCCTAAGAGGACAGGAGACTTTCCATTTTCTTCCGGGCACCAATACTCTGTCGCCTTAAAGACAGTAGTGTAGTAAACTCCAGATGCCGACATCCTCAAAATAGTTGCAGCTGTTTTTCTGTTTCTGAGATGCTGAATCCAGCTTCTCTGGCAGTAGCTGCAGGGGCATGTTTACCGGCACGTAATCATGAAGCACTCAGCTCATCACAGGCACACGCACCACAGAGTGCAATAAATGAAACGGCCACTGAGTGTGCAGCTTTTTTTTCTTTTGGTGCATAAATGCTCAAATATATAACATTTGTAGTAATGACTAACGTAGGCTTAAATTGTTGCAGTATATGTTTTAAGATTATATTTGAGCATGCATTCATGAACATGTGACAGCATATTATAATTTACATATGGGTAGATGTTTCTTTCTCTGTCTGGGGAAAAAAACAAACAAACCACTTTCGTGCAAGTGAAGCTTCTAATCTGACCCAAAACCGCTCGCCACCAAAGTGATGTGGTGACCTCATGTGGAAACCATGTCGATGTTTTCGTCGCCTAGAAAAGACTAACCAAACTGCTGCTTCGACAACACACTTTCTACTGTGGGAGGACTGGATATGAACATTGACAGGTTTAGCTTAGACAGTTCAGAGACAGGACAGGAAGTGTGTCCCCTCACTGACTCCCAGCAGGAAAACTCTGCAGATCCGGATAGTGGGCGGCCGGAGCAGTTATGAGGGCCGGGTGGAGGTTCAGGTTGGGTCCAAGTGGGGCACAGTGTGCAGCACAGGCTGGACCACAAAGGAAGCCATGGTGGTTTGCAGGCAGCTAGGGCTCGGCTACTCCATGCATGCCATCACTGTAAGTAGGAATGAAGACTTAAATCACACATGAACAAAACATGCACAGAAGTAATGATAGCACAGACTGTGATATCGCTGATGTGATATTCAGGATTGCAGTAGAAGCATTATGAAGTTGAAGAAACATAGATTTGAATTACAAGTATGTTGTGTTTTACATTTCTTACTATAAACTTTTGTCTTTCTTTCTGTAAAAACTGAGGAAAGCTCACAGGAAAACTGACCAAAAAATTTAACTGACAGCATTTAGAAAATTCTAAAAGCTAGTGAAGCTTTTCAGACCCTCATATTTGTCACAGTGACTGATATAAAGTGAACAATTCAAACCTACAAAAAACTATTTGTAAGAAATACGTAGAAGTTCAAAATTGAACTTTGCAGAATCCAATTTTTGTAAACAATATTGCTTAAAAATGTTATTCTAGGTAGATCATAGTTATTGGTGCAACAGAATTTGAATCCCAGTTCACTGCTGATATTTTGAAGCCAAGCAGAAAACCAAGCAAAATGTGCAGATGTGCAACTTCACTGGCTAAAGTATAAAAAATGGGTAGAACGGACAAGGATGTGCACAATTACAAGGATGTGCACAATTACAAGGATGTGCACAATTACAAGGATGTGCACAATTACAAGGATGTGCTATTGAATTTTCCACTACAGCTAATGAGGCAGATTTCTACTTTGATCACTAGAGAGTGACTGTTGCACGTTATATTTAAGGGTTCGATTAGGCTATTGTTGCGTGAGGTTGAGAAGCCTTGCAGAAAGACTATTGAGTCTCTTAGCATCTGAACAAAGTGGTCATAAAGTCAGCATTACACTCTGTCCTCATTCAGGGGCCAAAAATGAGTCATGAACATCTGTTTTTCAGAACGTAATAGCGCACTGAACTCTGCAGCAGTCTGCGAATGATTTTGTCCTGATCGACGCACCGTGTTTTTTGTTTTTTTTGTCTTTGCACGTGTGCCTGTTTTGTTATATCTCTTTAAGGAAACCTGGTATTGGGACAGCAGTAATGTGACAGACATGGTGATGAGCGGTGTGAAGTGCATGGGAAATGAGATGGCTCTGAGTCAGTGCCAGTACCACAAAACTGTCAGCTGCCAGAGAGCGGCAGCAAAGTTTGCAGCGGGAGTAATCTGCTCAGAGAGTGAGTGACACGGAGACAAACAAAAGCTTTGATTGTTCATATTTATGTAAATCTGCAGCAAGATTAAACTTCTGCTGTGTATTACCACAAAAAGAATGAGGACTATATCTCAATCCTAACCCTCCTTCTCTATCCAGCGGCCTCTGACCTCGTCCTGAATGCCTCTCTGGTTGAGCAGACAGTTTATATCGAGGATCGCCCTCTGCACATGCTCTACTGCGCTGCAGAGGAGGACTGCCTGTCTAAATCAGCTGCGAAGGCCAACTGGCCATACGGACACCGCCGCTTGCTCCGCTTCTCCTCTCAGATCCACAACATCGGCCGCGCTGACTTCAAGCCAAAAGCTGGACGGCACTCGTGGGTGTGGCACGCCTGTCACGGGTAAGAAACCAGGTCTATTATGAAAACAATAACCTCAATATGTGATTAAAGAATTAAAGGTTAAACCCCGAATAGTGATTTGCATTTCAATCAAAATAAAATGGTAAATGGTAAATGGCCTGTATTTCTATAGCGCTTTTCTAGTCCCTAAGGACCCCAAAGCGCTTCAGTGTGTGAATGGGTGGATGACATTCAGTCATCCACCCATTCACACACACATTCACACACTGGCGATGGCAAGCTACATTGTAGCCACAGCTGCCCTGGGGCGCACTGACAGAGGCGAGGCTGCCGGACTCTGACCACCACCAGTATAATAAGTTTGTGGAAGTTTAATTTTTTTTATTATAGCAAAAATTTCAGAAGGTCTCTGACTCTCAAAGTCTCAGTGAAAAGACAAAGGAAGAAACTTTTGTTTAGGTTCACGTTGTTAAGGTCTCATCCTGTTAAAAGGGAGTTCTTCCTCCTCACAGTCGCCAATTTCTCACTCATATGAGATCATGTGTTGTTGGGGTTTTCCCTACTTATTTTAAGGTCTGGGATTAAAGTCAAATTGCTTAAGTTGATCTGGATTTATTTGAAAAAAGAAAAATATTTATAACACGTTAGGTGATCCACACACACTGGTAAATCAGTTTTGGGAGTATCTTCCTGTTCCCAAAATCGTGTTAAAACAAAATTCATCATTGAAGCAGAAAAGTAGGTATGAATAAAATGACCAAATGAACATAGGAGATAACTATGTTTATTATTATTTCATTTAAAAAGGACTAGAGTCTAGTATAACTCCAGTCTATGTGTTTTTGTTTAGTCTGTGAGAAACAAAAATGTGCTCAGACTGGCAGAAAGAAAGTAGGAAGGGCTGCTTATGTCTGCTATTCAGATAACAGCAGAGGACCAATTGTGTTTATCCAGTAACATGACTGGTATGAACTGACTGAGTGTTTAGACTTTGGGGATAAGTGTTCACAGGTCATATATTTGAGGCGTTAGTATATCTATTAAAAACATCTCCTAGTATTGCATTGTTAGAATGAGCATCAACCTAATGCACTTCCTGTGTTATCTTTGGTTTTTATCCTTTTGCCAAATATACAACATGTCAGAAATTCCTGTAAAGTCATCCTGTTATCACCATGTAGATTCCAGATATAAGCAAATACCATCACGGACCTCAGTGTGTGGTCAGTCATCAAAAGAGAAATACAGGATATAAAAGATAACATTTACTTCTCTTTATATTAAATACAGCCACTACCACAGTATGGATATATTTACCCACTATGATTTGCTGAATGCCAACGGTACCAAAGTGGCAGAGGGACACAAAGCCAGTTTCTGTCTGGAGGACACAGACTGTCAAGAAGGTCAGAATGATGATTTCCTTTTAATGAATTTATTATCAAATAAACATGACCAGAAAATTCCCTAACGACCTTTTTGCATTGCTGCTAGTCTTTCAAACATATCTCACTGACTCTGTCTCTTCTTCTGGGACATTAAGGCATTTCTAAACGATACGAGTGCGCCAATTTTGGCGATCAGGGTATCACCGTGGGCTGCTGGGATTTGTACCGTCATGACATTGACTGCCAGTGGATTGACATCACAGACATCAAACCTGGAAATTACATTATGCAGGTGAGACTGTGGGACTCAGTGTGTAGAAACCTATTTGAGAGAGTTATAGTGGAAATGGAACCGCAAAAATGGTGACGTTCAGATTGGTTTTACCCACATGAGGCCAGTTTCAGAGCTCTTTGGCAGATTCATATATATATTTCAGTGCTAGTAAAGGCAAACAAGGATAGATGATGCTTTGATTGATTGTACTTCAGCTGCCGTCTTTCAGTTTATCGTGCTAATACTGGAGCTTCAGTAAGCCAGCAGATCTATTACCGACACGTATACCTGTTAGAAACAAATTGCCATAATCAACAACAAAACATTGCCATGGCAACACAGCTATGTCTTCTTCAGAATTTAATTGTAGTACCAAGAGTTGATTGAAGAAAGTGTGACAATCTCTATAAATGGAGATGTTTTGACTCTATCTTGAGCCAAATGTGAGGCCATCTGTTCAACAACTTAACACTTGGCCAAAACTGAGTCATGGAACAATGATCGCAAGCACAGCAGCAAATCTACAGCAGAATGGTTGACAAAGAAAAGAAGTCAACACTTCAACCTGACTGAGATGCTGTGGTGTCACCTTAAGAGTGCTGTGCATGCGATTCAATAAACCGAAACAATGCTGCAGAGAAGAGTGGGCCAAAATTCCTCCACGACGACGTGAGAGGCTGATAAAGTCACAGATTATTGCTTCATGTTATTGTTGCTAAATGGTTTCTACAAGCTACTGAATCATGGGGTATACTTAGCTTCTTACCTTTGTTTTACACAGGACTGAATCTCAGTGTTTCTCTGCAGGAAATAAAAAAGTACTTAATTTTTTAAAGAGCTCCACACATAATAACACCTACAGGGCAGATTAAGAAAGTTGATCTCCATAGTTTTCTTTTTTTATTTCTTTGAAAGTCCTGTTTTCAGGTCCAGGGAATAAAGTACAGCTTCATCGCTCTTTTTCTATGGGGAACTCTTCTCTTTAACTTCTCTTATACTCAAGTCTGCATATATTCTGCATTTTCATGTGCTTAGTATACTTAGTTTTGGGTCATACAGCTTGTCTGATCATAAAACCAACAGAGTAAGAATAGTTTATTTAATACTTCTCCTCTGTTCAGGTTGTAATCAATCCAAACTATGAAGTGGCTGAGAGCGACTTCACCAACAACGCCATGAAGTGCAACTGCAAGTACGACGGACATCGGATCTGGTTCCACAACTGCCACATTGGTAAGCAGTGGAAAGCAGTGAGACTACCAGATAATGATAATGATAATCAAATGTACTCTTTTTGGCATCTCTGACCACCTTTACTGATTATTTGATCTCCCTGCAGGGGATGCATTGAGCGAGGAGGCAGAGAGGAGATTTGAGAAATATCCCGGACAGCTGAATAACAAGATTTCTTAATCGCCAGTAACTTCCCAGCAACTTAGAAACCAAAGCGGGAATAAAGATACACCTCACTAACTCAGAAAGAAAGACACAAACCTTTTGTCTTCAGGTGCTAAAACGGATCCCCGCCACATATCTCTAGATTTGTAGTCACTGAAGCAGCGAGCGTGTGCTCTACGTGTGAATTATTTTACTTGAATATTCAAGTGGTAATTTTTCGTGTAGTCTGAGGTGAGTGCGTGCTATATTTTTACTGCAAATTAAAATTTTATAAAGTCAGTGAGACAGTCTCCTCTGTATGATCGACCTTTTATATTCTGTTCCGTTTATGAGTTATGATTTTAAATCACCATAAAGAGAAAAGCTTCAATGTTTTGCAGATATATATATATATATATACAGAGATGCTTTTAAACCGCTTGTTTAAGTAATAACATCTGCCTTCGTGTTTACAGTATTTTGTGAATGTATTTATTGCCAACATGGAGGCACTAAAGAATCATTCTGGGTCAACAGCAGTATTTGGACCAGTTTGAAGCCATCGTTAGCTTTAGTGCACACACGTACTTTAATAATCTTTGAGAGATTAATGGGCAAAGGCCAAAGAAAGCTACAGTTACAGTTAGATTTGTTGTATTTACTCTGATGTAATCACACCTGCTGCACCAAATAAAACAGAGAAAAACCTCCTGAGACTCGTTTGACCGGGAATGATTCACTGCAACAATGCTGAAGCTGTAAAGCAGCTGTTTTCAGTGCCTGTAAACACAGTCTGCTACAGATATACCAGCCACACCGGTGGAAAAAAAGCAGCATACTTTGGTGTTACAAAAAAACCTGGTCTCTGGTATTGTATCATGCTGGTATTTTACTTTTCCCGCAATTATTTTGTGGTCATGTGGACCACTGCTCCAACAGTATGCTCCTACAGAACAATAGCACTTTTGTTTTGGTTCCTCGAACTGAGCCAGCAGCTGACTGCACAAATCCAACAATGACCTACTGCAGCAGTAAAGAGTCAGATTATGGTCAGAGATTATTTTAAATTTAAAGTATGATAGATATATGAGTTTTTCAAAAGATGATCTGTTAACCTAAGCCTATTTTATAAAGACAGGCAGGAATCCTCCAACCCATCTGGCAGATAAACAAAGAGGTGTGCAGGGCTGATTGCTCAGTTAAATTAAAAGAAAATCAGGTGGGCTGACTAAGACAGAGCTCTCAAACCAGTTGTCAGCTGTGTGCTTCTAAGCCCAGAGTTCAAATCAATCCACTGTTAGTCTCAGTCTTCACTGCCCGCGGTGGAACAATCCCGTTAACCTCCCTTACTAATCACATCAACCGTGTGCGCAACATTGCAGCGGCTCAGCAGCAGAGCTGGTATGCACCTGTTTGTAAGAAGTCTGAATGTGATTATTAATCACTTAATTGTGTCTATAGTGTAAGAAAACACACACAAAAAAGGCCATCGCAGCTTCCTAACACTTTGAAATTGCTTAATAACAGAAATGTTTAATGTACAGTGATACATAATATATGAAACAGAAATGTACGGGATCCACTGAAGAATGTGGAACCATAGAAAGTTTCTGCTTTCATATTAGAGCAGGTTAATATGTATGATATCATGGAAACGTGGTTTAAAAATGAAGCTATTTGGGAATAACAGGATAAATGCAGAATTTCCTAATCATTTTGTGCAGCATGAGGACCAAAAATGAAAAGAAATAACAAGGAAAATCCTCCAGGTTTACTAAACAATAAAGGAACACTATGTGTTTATATGTAATGTTATTGGTGGCCTTTTCTTGCTTCAGCTGCTGCTGGCTGCTTGGGTTTCTCTTGAGGTTTTTGCCTGTCATCATCATCTCATCAGCCTGCACACCTGGCCTAACAGAAGAGGATTACGCCGCTTCAGCAGAGCGGTGTCACACACATAAGCTGGCTAATGTTCTACTGAGTAATCAGACAGGCCCATGCAGAGAGATGGGCGCCACCCAGAGGGCTGCAGCTAGAAGTGCATCAACTCCAAGTGGATGCCTCAATCTCTTTCCCCCCTCTAAGGTTTACTAGGGTAGCTCTACATGATTCACAGTTCAAACTAATCCTTATCGGAGCAGCCCCTCGGTCTGTCGTCTATCTGAAACAAGCCATACTAGCTCATCTCTCTCTTTAAGGGTAAACAGCAGGTAGGTGAGGCTGCTGTGTTTGAGAAGAGAGGATATGGACTCTCGCTGACATCACAAGGAGCCAAAAGCAGGAAAAAGGAAGCTGAAAAGCTGAAAGGGAGCCTTTAAAAAGCAGCCTGAAGCCTGAGCGTCACTGGGGATACTTTTACACACCTCCCCATCTGAAAATTTGTTCAGATGTAACATTTAGAGGTGGGACTCGCCAGATACCTCACAATATATAATTGCAAATTTCAACATTTTGCAATATGCTGAGTATTGCAATAAATATATTATGATTTATCACCTTAATTTCAACTTTAAATTATGTCCTCGGTTAAATTTAGGCAGAATCTGTTTTATCCAGTGACATAACATCATCTCACTTCAGTTTTGGGGGGTTTATTTTGGATGGCAAATAAGATTGTCACCAAAACTGCCATGAATGTTGTTGTAAGATGGAATCAAGCTTCTATTGGCAAACAATTTGGCAATTACATGCAATCTGTTTGTGATAGTAAAGCAAATAACTGTGAAAAATTATCGAAAATCCAATATTTTTGATGTCTGCATAGACAGAAATTCACATGTAACGATTACTTTTCCACTCAGCAACCTTCCTCTTGTATAGGAACATAACCAGAATACAATCAGCTGGTAGCCAGTTGAGTCGAAACCCCTGGAGTTGCTGTCACTGACAGAGGCTCAGTCGGATCATGAACAAACATTTAGTCACCGCAAGCCACTAATGTATTCATTTATAGTTTGTGTAGCTACATGGAAGCTGCTGCCCTATTTTTACTTGTGCGACTGAGCTTTACTTTTGAGCCGATTTAATCTAAGTTCTCTCAGGTAACATTATCTCAGAATGGCGGTACATGGGATGAGACCTCTTGCTCAGTGTTACCAGAGGATGCATGCATGTATATAATACAACTCAATATCCTACTCAGCATGCAGAATGCACCATTGTTGAGTCGTGCTAATTATTTCACTGGACTATAATCCCTGACACAGGAAATGTAGAGCTAACATTGAACCTCAGATTGTACTTGCACAGATCGGGGTTTTGAACCTTTAGGGAGAGACCCGCCTAAGTTTTGTGCATATTGAAATCAGATTAAATTTCATGTGCAATCAAGGTAAGAAAATGCATTTTAATACCATGGTTCAACATAAAGACCAGTTATCATCATGAAGTCAATATAAACAGATCCTGACCACGTAGGTGTGTAATGGTCCTTAGCCTCCAAAATGAAGCAGAAAAATGAAGTCCCGTTCTTCAGCAGCCGTTTCAATGCTGTTTACATTAATTTACCCTAAAACTCATGACAAATGCCAGCAATGATTACATGTTGTGGTGACGCATGACTTAAATAAGGGACCATATGAAGCAGACACATGGGGAAAATAAAGGCTGTGTGACCTTGAGGTGAAACTACTAGGTCCAGCTGTGAGCGGATGATGCCACGCCGGAAATGTTTTTTAAAAGAAGATTTTTTTTTCCAGCTTAAAGGTGTTGAAATGCTCCTCCAGAGGGAGCTGGATCACTGAACTGCCGGATTAGTCCGGACCACAACAGAGTCATGTCTGTGCATCCAGTCGTTTCACTGCAGGACTGTCTGTTTGATGACTTTCCCTTCTTTGTTAACGGCAAAGTTGTAATTCTTTGGATTGTCCAGTGCCTCCTCGATTCGTTGATCCAAGTTCTCCGTGGTGATGAAGTTCTTTACTTCCTCCTGAAAGAAAATGAAAGTTTTGTCAGTTTATCACTATGTTCCCTTTGCTCTACTTGCATAGTTTGGATGCAGAAACAACCCCTACCTGCAGCTGCAAAATCTCCCTCTCTTTTTCTTTGATGAATTCTTGCTGTTCCTGGTCCCGCTGAATGGCAGCTTCAATCTTCTTGCGCTCAGCTTCCTCTGCTTCTTTCTGGACCCTCAGAATTCTGAAATGATTTCCCCCAAAAAAACATCACTTTTAGAATGAGACAGTTTCCATTCTGGAAGTGGAAGAAAGACACAAAGAGTGTATTCATGTCATCATCTTTTCTGCTCACCTGGCTTTCAGCATGCGCAGGTTCTCCTCGTTGTTCCAGCCCATCAGGGCTCGGTGCTCCTCCGCCTCCTGCCTCGCCCTCTCCTCCGCCTGGGAGCCCGTCTCCTCCTCGTACTTCTTTCGTAGCACCTCCTCCTTAAACTCCAAACTGACACACATGAAGAAAACTAAATACTCCAATCACACTGTCTTTACATCGTTAGCTTCATAGCATAAGTGCCTAAGTCATTTTTTTGTGATGACATAGGCAGACGGACAGGATGATGCAGCAGTGGTAGGGGAGTAAAGTTAGGCAAAAATCTCAATTTGACCAAAAAATGACTTAGGCACTTATGCTATGAAGCTAACGATGTATCGTTTCATGTTTCTGAGACACTCTTAGTCACAGATTTGTGTGTAAGAGGTTCGAGAAATTGTTTACGAAGTTGTGTTCGAGTTCAGCTTTTTCAAAGCAACACAGAATATCTTTAAGACTGACGGGGAGCTCACTAAGTTGGAGTGACTATTTGTCACGGGAAACTGATTTTGACATACTGTCATTTAAACGTACCGGAGCGCCCTCATGATCAGCTTGTATTCCGTGTATCTCTCTTTGAGAACTACCATCTCCACCGGATCGACGGGGGGAGGCACTTTAATTCGCCCTTCTTTGGACTTGGCTACCGGGTCGGTGCGAGACTTTCGGCCCCGGACAGCTTCCACGAGCACGGCGCTCCTGGGCGCTAAGAGCCGCGCCGCCTGCACGCTCCTCCCGCCGATTACCTGGAACATGTCAGCGTCTAAATGTGGGAACAGGTGCCGATTCCTAGATGCTAAATGTAACGCTTAATGAGAGCATTTGAGTTTGAAATCTGCGGTCTAGGTTAACATTAGGGCACAAATGTTATCGACCTAACACGGCAGCCATTTTGCTGCCCTCTGACCAGCGGAAGTGATTAGCAACGAACGAGCTGCGCATGCTTGACTGCCTCCTGGAGGTTAGCAAAGGTTAGTTAGGTACAGAATAAGCTATCAATAGTTATCAAGATAACAAACTAGGTTAAACAGCGTAAT